TGTGTATGTTAGAAAAAATAGTTAAAAACATAGATAGTTTACATATTTTTCAGGCTTCCCTATTTGATTATCACTATTGGAATAACAACAAAGATATTTATCAAGATTGCAGCAAAAAAATATCAAAATTCGGAAAAGTCCTTATTCTACATAATTACCAAAATCGGCACGAAATAATCTAAAAAATAATGCGGCAGCTCCTAATGTGCTCGTCTCGACGGTTGAGTGTTGTGGCGTGACGCTTGAGCATGTGCTCGCGCACGCGTGTTTACATGACTCGGCGCCCAGGCGCCGCTCAGTTAGCGACACGTGCGGGCCGTTACGAGGGTCCGTTTACCTAGCCTTTATGGAGCCTAGAGTTTTTGTTAAAGCCGTTGCCCAGGTATTATTATTACCGATTGTTCGATCATCATTATTTCGTTATTATTAACTCGCGGATATTATCACACGATTATCGATTAGGTATTATTATCACTACTATTTATTGTCGAACAGATATTATTATTCGTCCGATTAGCCGTTATAACCTAACGAGAAATCTTGCCTGCGTTGTACTAGTTGATCGGCGTAAGTTATATATACACGGTCGGTCTCACGCCGTTCCTCGCTTCGCGCATTCACTTGGCGCGAGACGCTACCGCATCTCTTGATTAAATTAAAAAATGTATAACTATTTTGTTTTTATTATGATATTTTGGTATTTACATATTACATATTTACATTTTAGAGATTACGTTATATATTAATGAAAATATCGTATAAATTAGATAACGAAAAATAGAATAATGGTAGAACAGTAACTATTTTCATAAAATCTCTTTTTTTCATAATAAACCTAATAACTCTTGTTGTGTTAGCACTGGCTCATATGGATGTTTGGGAGATGAAAGGCAAAAATTTATATTTATATACATATATATTTATGTTTGTGTCTTATGTACTTGTATTATAATAAATATGGACATTGCAAAAATTTTTGAACGGAAAAAGGAACATACATTTTTTATCTGTACTAGAATATTACAGACGCGCGCTATTTAGCATCTTTATCATTACAATGACTTTTTAAATTACCTTATAAAATTACTTTAATCTTACTTATTACTTTACTTATTACTTACTACCTTATTTTTGCTTAAATAATATGCTTTTCTCTTTGTCTGTTCTTTCATTTTCCTCTTTCTTCTCTACCCTTCTATTCTCTATTCTTCTATTCTTATAATCTATATCTTCTGTATTCTTTTCTTTATGAGTTAACCAACGCGATAACAGTTATTTGCCTGATAATTTGACAGGTGCAAACGACACGAAGCAAGCCGTAACCTACATGAAGCTAAGCGAGAGAACCAATCAGCATCGCGGAAAAGCGGCAACAATTAAATCTCTTACATGCCTTTTTTTAGAATAGAATAAATTCTTCATTATATATCATAGACGATTTTTAAATTAATTTTTTAAACCTAAATTATTTAAAAGAATGGCTTTAAAAAAGTATTTTTTTGTAAAATAAACTTTGTCGACCACAATTTTTGAAAAAGAAAAAATCAGTTATAATAATCTAAGGAATTTATTGTTGATCAAAATATATTTCCTCTTTTCCATTTAGAAATTTTTACAAGAAGTTATCAGACACACTACGGAAAAAAAAGGTTTCACAGAAATGTTTACTGTTCCGCCATTATTATGTTTTCCGTTTTCTAATTTATACATTTTTATTAATATATAATATTTTTATCTCATATTTAAATTATATAATAAAATATAAAATAAAGGTTACAGGATTTTGAATTTAAACTTTCCACGCGCGCCCGCGCGTGTGACAAAGGTATTTTGCCTCCTTAATACCTAAACTTCCTACGAGAATTTAATAGGAAAGTGTCAAATATTTTGCACCAACTTAGTCGCCATAACACCTAGCTTATGCTACTAATGGCTGCCAGATGATATTTCGTTGAAACAATACCGTGCTTTCGATTCGACTTAGTAAAGACACTTCTCTTCAAAGCGACTTAATTAACCGCGTGCTTTTCTTACGTTCACTGTTTCAGGACATCGACTACGAGGGTTTCCGCAAGTTTCTGAACTCGTATCTGGAGATCGACACGCCCGATGAGCTGTGCCGGCATCTCTTCCTGTCGTTCGTCAAGAAAAGCGCACGCGGGGTGGACAGCAAGGCTTTCAAGGTGCGCATCGCAATTTCAAGCTAATGTAAAATCCACCATTGCGAGACCGCCTCGTCTATTACCGCAACGATAAGCAGTCGCGCGAGCGCAAATTGGACGCGAATGGGAGCGAAAGCGGGGGCAGGGAAGGACGGGAAAAACTTCGCATAAGATAATATTGCCGACGCGCGAAGCGGGCACAATGATATCACAGAGAAAAGGCGCCTTTTGGAGACTTGAAAAGCGAAAAATTACGAATATGTAAACGTAAACGAGCGCGGCAAGGGATTAAATGCCGCGTTATTATCCGCGCTTGTTCGTTTCCCAGGAGATGGCCGTACTCTCCTCGACAACCGCCTGCGCCGCAATTACATCGCACACGACTTCCAGCAGTAACGTTAATAGCACCGGCGTGCCGGGCATCGCCGCCGCTGCCACCGCCACCGAAAGCCACAGCAGCGGCGGGTCCTCGCTGGCCGACAAAATTCACGGAATTACGGAAAAATTGCAAGCGCTCAGCCACCACAGAACGGAGAGTGAAGTCTCCAGGACGCGGACAGGTAATAAGAAGAGAAAAGACAGAGATGCTGCGGTTGCACCGTATCGAAGGACAGTGTGTGTGTAATAACGCGATCAATCGCGATACTTTACTCCTTGTACTTCGCCGGCCATGTCCAATTAGTGACGTCAGAAGCGAGGAATAACATGCTGACGAAAATTGCGTGCTATTTCTGAATAACTATAACAGTAACTATGGCCGAAAGAGCATTTGAGATTGTTTGAGCAAACTTGTAAAATTGTCCGAAAGATATCCCTTTCCCTTGATGATCAATAAATAGTCGTACAATAAACGATAAAATGAAATACATAAAATGATGAAATGAATCTATTTTGTCTACATGCTTTATTTCACCATTATACGACTATTTATTAATCGTCAGAAGAAAAGGATATCTTTCGAACAATTTTACAAGTATGCTCAAAAAGTATGTCTGAAATGCTCTTTCGTTTATATTTATCTTTATTTAGAAATGGCGTGCAATTTTCGTCAGTATGACGTTCCTCGCTTCTGATGTTACAAATTCAACATGGCCACGGCGAGATACAAGGAGTCTTAAGATTCCTGATTAGTCAGCCGAGAACTCCGCGTCAATGGTGGCGACATGATTGAAAACGACAAAAGATGAATTGTTAGACGAGAAAAGAGGTCTGTTCGTTTCCAAAGAACCTTTGCACTAGTGCAAACTATTGCAATGAGAGAAAAAGAGAGAGAGAGGGAGAGGGAAAAGGAGAAGCAGAGGGAAAGGGGGAGAGAGAGGGAGACAGAAAGAGTTAGATTTACAGTATACGAAAGTATACTTGTCTTTCTCTATTGCACTAGTATTATTATTGCACTAGTGCAAAAGTTAAAAAACGAACAGATCTAACGATGTAAACAGATGACCAACTTTTTCTTATAAACCACAGCATTAGTACTGAGTGTAAATTGTGTATATCATATATGATACAATTGTGGAAGTATAGAAATGCTCCGGATATTGTGCTTATTGTGATATTTAATGCGCATAAGTAGTTATTTGATCATATTCGGCATGTAGTCAAATGATTTTCTGTCAAGAGGAGCATCCGGAGCATTTCGTAAGTATATAGGACAGATTGCAAGTGTTATTTTAATGATATATCGTTTTATTTAGCCGTGGTTCGCAGGAATTTTAGGCATAGTTTTCCTCGCTTCTGACGTCATCAATCCAATATGGCCGCAATGACTGATCAGGAGCCTAAATATGATACGTTAATTAATATTGCGCGACGCATCCTCTTTTTCCGTTTTCGCGTTTCCTCAGGTTGTATTTTTATCAATATTAATTTTTAAAAATCGACTTTTTAAAAGTTATTTTTAATTGATTTTAGGAAAAGAAGTTCTTAGTTAGACTGTTAGAGATATTGGAATGATATTTTTACGACAAACGAATGTAACTCTCACGAGATCGGATAAAGTGGTCAGAGTTGGTACGAAAAGAAAATAAGAATAATTCCGATGGTTCGTTGGACATACTTTTTTGCTTTTCTTCTATTTTCTCTTTTTTTTTTACTTTATATCACACATCGGGCAATGCTATTGTTCGTGTGGAAATGACAAACGAATAACAATTGATTTAATCCAAAGGAGCCAGAGCTTTGAAGTAAACGTCGACGGACATGGTTCGTTAAAAACACGTTTGCCTCAATTGTAAACATTGAGTGGCTGATGCTTTAAAGGAACAATTCGTAAAACTCGCGCACCACTCGAACGTAGTCTTCAAAAAAGAACCTTACTTATTTTTATGAGTTCTGGACTTTTTGCGACTAATAACAGGACTCAACTAAAATAAAAAATCACACTGGTCAACACAAAAATTGTATCCCTGATCTAAACCATCAGTTCTAATTAATTTTGTGGTGTTGATCGTAAATGGAGTAATTAAAATCAAAGTATAACTTTAATTTCCATAATGTAGTAAATTACAATTAAAAAAGAATTTCTTAAAAATTGACTTTTTAAAAACTACTTTTTAAAACTACTTTTTAAAAACTTTAACTGAAGAAAAGGAGGTTCTTAGTTTATCCTGTTTTGTATGTTTATTTATTTGCGTATTCCCTTATAATTTGAAAACTGTTAGAAATATGAGATAAGATCTTTTTTGTAACTTGTTCAGTAATCTACGTGGTTCTTAGACTAATATTATTACCCGGATTTGTCCAAGTGTTTTGAAAATTAGATAATTCCATTATTTTCTTGAAAATTCCAAGAACACGTTTAGGAATAGAAAACGAATCTTTTATTTTTAACCGACCTTAAAAATTTTCAGTAAATAATTAAAAAATACAAGATAGAAAAATAAACCCTTCAAAAATCTGAAAAGTATGAAATAATTTTGAATATTCCTTTGTGTCCACAAAATCCTATCGTACTATTCTAACGATATTAAAAATATAGGATATGTGAAAATTATTCCTACCTCTACCATTTTGCAAACAATCACGTAGATTTTTAGATATTAATTAAAAAAGATTAGTGCATGAGATTGTGTGCGATAATGCGCTAACTTTCTTTACTTAATGACGAAAAACCTATGTAATTATTTATAAAATGACACAAAACCTTTTTGTTAAGTTTGATTTAATGTATAAGCAGAAGTCACCATTACAGCTCATTTACCATATCGCGCGTGATCACTCATCAATCTCCATTAATTAATAATTAAAAATTTTACGTGGTTGTTTGCGAAATAATAGAGGAAGTACGTGTTCAATTTTATGAGTTCTATCTGCACATAACGGGTGTATTAATAGCAGTTAAATACTCTATATATAACTGTATGTAAGGAGATAAATATTTAAAAAAAAACGTATAATTATTAATCGATTCAATCGATCAGTTTTTCGTGTCGTTTTTCAATATCATTAGAATATTAGGATAAGATATAGATTCCATTTTAATTATTTGTCATATAACAAAAAAGAAAAATTACTATTGTTTATAAAGTTGTTTTCGATTTCAGTAGATTAAATGTAAAATAAAGTCTAAATTAAGATATAAAATAAAGATGATTTTTCATTATATTTTATTAAATGTAATATATAAAAAAAGTTTTATATTAATATTCATTTCTATCTATATCATGCATAATTAAGTATCTGTATTGTCAAATTTTAATTACAAACAACAACAAGAAATTAAGATACAGTTAATCTATACTTTGTAATAATTTTAATGAAATCTGCGTTATAATAGATAAATAGCAAAAACTTGAAACTGTCGACGATTTTATTCTTCACTTAACTGAAAAAATTATGTATCTATATACTTAAATAATCTCATGTTTACAAGGTAATTTTTTCATGTTTAAAATTATGTCTGGAATTAAGAGGTACATAAGAAATATGTGCCAAGTGACGATAAAGTTCATACGCGATTTGCCGGTCCCGATGACTTTATCGATCAGTATGCGACTCATTACCAGTCGCGAGAGACGCAAAATGGACAAGGATCTTCCGTACGTGCACGTAAGGTAAATGTCCCAGTTAATGATACATTTAACCTTTCATGATAGTGAACACGAAATTAAATGACCATGCCATTTTCGATGAAAAGTTTATCACTTGTAAGTGAAAAATAGAATTTTTATTTATCCTATAGTCATATATTTTCGACATACAAACGTACTTTTTTAGTAATTTAATTAGAAAATTGAAATCAATGTATATGTCCCAGTTAATGACACTTTTAGTTTTAGGTTGTCTCAATTAATAACACGTCAAAGACCGTGTCACTGACTAGCACAGTGTATATACGTTTCTTATAATTGACTGGTACTATGTGATATATTTGTCCTAAAGTGACAACGGTTCTATTACTTCTTATTTATTTAGTTTTTTTTTGTGAATGAAATAAATCTGACTACTCTTACTCTAATTAATCTATTAGATAGTATTTGATATTCATAAGTTGGCATTAGTATTTTCGAACATTCTCGAAACGTAAGCAAAATATATCAATAATTGATACAAAAGAATAACGGTTGTCCCGATTTCTGGCCCTTCCTTTCTTCCTTGTCAGGTTATGTTGACGTAAATATTACATTGCAGATTAAGTTAAACGCACTTGAACGCATTTATTGATAAAAAAAAAAACTATATATTGCAGGAATTTCTACATATTCATCCAAAAAGTACAGAATTAATATTTTTTACATTATTTTATACTGGCCTGTCAATGATTGGGACGTTATCGTATTCTTGTGTATTAATTTATAGCCAGATTTTAATCCGAAATCAAGAGATGCGATAGCGTCTCGCGCCAAATGAACGCGCGAAGCGAAGAACAGCGCGAGATTGGCCGCGTATAACTTGCGCCGACCAACTAATATAGCGCAAGCAAGATTTCTCGTACAGCTATAATGACTAATCAGACGAATTTCTGGATAGGGTCTATCGATTCCTTGTGGTAGATTTGCTTAATAAATTTATCTTTATATTTATCCTATATAGTTTATGAGAAGAGATATTTTAGTGGAAAGTCCAAAATGACAAAATTTTACGATTAAGAAACATTCTACAAATGTCCACCTCAGTCTTTCTCCGTCAGAGGCGCCACTCAGCAGCGCAGTCAGCGAGGCATAAACCACGTGGTTAGGTCGTGTATACGTGTCAAAAAACGCAGTAGTATCTTGCGCAAAACGAAGCAAGAGTCACGCAAGTGAGAGAGAAAGAATGTCATCCTCTCCTTCTCGCTTTCACTCGTTGACTCGACCGTCTTTCAAAACAATGAGTGAAAGAGAGAAAAAGAGGATGATATTCTCGTCCTCACTCGGCGTTTTTAAGCACGCTGATCGTACGTATCCCATCGTACGTATAAGCCAAGCATCTATAGAAGAAATACAATAGTATCTCCTGTTAAATTGATACGCAACTCTCTTAAAATTATAATTATTTATGAAACTTATGTCAAATTTATGTGTGTTAAATAAATATATTTTTTTTTAAATTGTGAAAAAAAACAAGTTTACGCACTTGCCTGCGCGAGTGGAATTATATAAAAATTAATGTTTCTATTAAAAATATTTTATTTGTAAAATAACACATTTAAAAATGTTAATAAGAAATATTGTTGTTTAAACTTCTATTTTTTACAAAAAACTTGAAAAATTTGATTTTTTAGGCTTTTGCGGTGTCCATACACATTAGATTTGGTTTCCGAGTTTGAATCGCGTGAATTCATCTTTGTTTGATTCTGACGTTTTGCGAACATTTCAGTCCGCTACATCAGGAAGGAACGACCCGATGCCGAGTTGCTCCTGAAAGGTCTTTCTTTATATAGTAGTTGGTATAGGAAGAAAAGGGGGAGAAGACAGGAAGGTGGGAAGGGTTGGCAGGGGAGATGGTGGTAAGAAATTTATTGTCTATCATGTTTTGGAAACCGGAAGGATTGCCAAATTAGACTAATTTTTTGTCCATTATCCCTGTTAGGGTACTTCTGAATTTCCAAGGATTTCCTGTATTTCCTAAGGAAGTAGTTGTAAGTTTTGGCCAGTACTGTTATTTCGTTGAACAAGATTTTGTGTTCACTTTCTAGATTGTGTTCCGCTAGTGCTGACTGCGTTACATTTTTCAGTTTGTCTGCGCTTTGATGTTCCTTTATACGTGCGCTTACCATCCTCCCGATTTCTCCTATATAAACTTTGCCACAGAAGCAAAGGACTTTATATACTGCAGGAGTATCTAGTGAAGGTCTTCTGTCTTTTGAGTTGTTCATATACTGTCCTATTTTTGTTCTATTTTGTTTTCAGATACTGCCCTACTTTTGTTGGTGGTTTGTAGATGGTTTTGATATTGTGTTTTTTCAGGATTCTGCCAATTTTGTCTGTAATTCCCTGTATATATGGAAGGAAGGAGTTTCGTTCTTTCGTCTGTTCCTGTAGTTGTTTAGTCCGTATGTTTTGATGTCTTCTGGTTTGATATTTCCCAATTGTTTTGTTTATCTGTGTTACCGTATAGCCATTATTTTGAAAAGTATTCCTGAGTTCGCTTTGGATTCTGTTCTTGTCGCAGATGTCGCTAATGTTCTGTATATTAGCGAACCGATTGTTTTTGAGCTGGATAATAGTGTGATTCGGCATAGAGATATCGATTGGTGTGCGTAAGTTTCCTGTAAACTTGGTGATCTAGGGAGCCATCTGTTCTTCTTGTGGACTAGGGCATCCAAGAAAGGAAGTTTATTGTTTTGTTCGACTTCCATTGTGATTGTAATGTTGGGATGTGTAAGCGAATGTAGAAATTCATGGAGTTTTTCTTTTTCGTGTTGCCAGATGACGAAAGTGTCATCTAAATATCAGAGCCATATTCGAGGTTTCAATTGGCACTTTTGGATGACTTGAGATTCGAAATGTGCCATGAAGCCATGATGTGGGATGTGATGCGGCAAAGTTTATATAGGAGAAACCGGGAGGATAGTGAGCACTTGTATAAAGGAACATCAAAGCGCAGTCAAATTGAAAAATGTAACGTAGTCAGCACTAGCGGAACACAATCTAAAAAGAGAACACAAAATCTTTTTCAACGAAATAATAGTATTGGCTAAAACCAATAACTACTTTCCTCGGAAATACAGGGTATCCTTGGAAATTCAGAAGCACCCCAACAATCTCAACAAGGATAATGGACAAAAAATCAGTCCAATCTGGCAATCCGTCCTCTCGGTTTCCAAAACATGAAAGACAACAAATTTCCCATCACCATTCTCCCTGCCAACCCCTCCCCACCTTCCTGTCCCCTCCCCCCCTCTCCTCCTATGTCAACTACTATAGTATAAAGGAAGACCTCTCAGGAGCAACTCGGCATCGGGTTGTTTCTCCCTGATGAAGCGAACTGAAATGTTTGTGAAACATCGGAATCAAACAAAAATCCACGCGGCTCAAACCCGGAAACCAAAAAACGTGATATCAGATACTTGCGCCAAGTAAAAATAATACACGTGCTTCCCTACATGAATAGAATTATATAAAAGCAAATATGTTATGTATGAAATATTTCACACATACATACTTTCAGAAAACATAAATCTAAAGATGTTAAAACATAATATTATTTAAATTTCTATTTTCTGCAAAGAGGATGTTAAAAGATAATTAGATTAAACAAAAATATCATTGCGTATATGACAGCTTTGTATATATTTACACCACATGTGGTAACTATTGACTTCTTTTTATTATGGTAACTAATAAATAAATAAATAAAAATTAAGATAACATAAAATTAAAAGTAATCACACAAAAAACACTTGGCCTAATTACCTTGCTCAGGTATATAAATAATTTAAATATATTTTCTAAATAGTATTTTGTATATCAATTTGTAAAATTCAATGCATCTTATTGCGACATGGGCACGCCAAGTGCTTTTTGTGTGACTCTTAATTTTATTTTATCTTAATTTTTATATGGTTACCAATAAAAAGAAGTCAATAGTTACCACATGTAATGTGAATATCCACAAAGTTGTTATATATGCAATGGTATTTTCGTTTGATCTAATTATCTTTTAACGTCCTTTTTGTAGGAAATAAAAATTTAAGTAATATTAATTTAAGTAATATTATATGTTTTAACGTCTTTGGATTTTTTAAGTTTTCTGAAAGTATATATGTGAAATATTTCATATATAAACATATTTGCTTTTATATAATTCCAAGTATATTTCATGTAGGCTACACGTGAATTATTTTCACTTGGCCTAACTACTTGATATCACGTTTTTTTGTAAAAAATAGAAATTTAAACAACAATATTTTTTATTAACATTTTTAAATGTTATTTTACAAATAAAATATTTTTAATAGAAACATTAATTTTTTGTATAATTTTACTCGTACAGGCAAGCGCGTGAACTGGCCTTTTTTCACCTTTTTTTTAAAAAAAGGTAGGTTTGTTCAAATATTAATCTAGTAGCATACTCACTTGCTTATCAGTCCAAAGTAATCTTTAATAATTCGTTTAAAGTTATCCTAATACTTCAAACCAACATGAATGCTCAAAATTATTAATATTTGATCACGCTTGTCATTCACAATGTCATAAGTAAATCGATGTATATTCATATTATAATTACGAAATATTTGAAAGATGATAGATTTTGCGATGAGACTATTACAAAAAAAAAATAGTAAATGACCAGCAGAATATTTTAAAATATTATTAAGCTATGAAGAAATCAAACTGAGATTTTGTAATGTAAAATATTTTTAAAGTGTCACTAACTAGAACACTGTCATTAACTGGGACATTTACCTTACATACTCGGCGAAATCGGAGGACACGTCTTTGCGCAAATTAAATTATTCGTCAACAAATAAATTTCGCGCTTTTAATTCTGATCGAAAACGCAATGCGGAGGAGAGGTGGAAGAGAATCTGGCACAACCTCCCACCTATACTCTCATGCAAACAGATGTATTTCTCGGAAGACGCAGTACAGTCGTCGAGCGCATTAGGTACACGCGGATCGCAGCAAGGTAATGAATATTTAGCTGGTGAATCTTTTATCGCGTAAACAAGTCAGTGCATCTCGCACGTACATAGACGTAAAATCTATTCTCTCTCTCTCTCTCTTCCGCTCGCGCGCGCGTGCATACACACACATGTACACAATCAATCGATCATGCTGTTTGTTTTTCTTGTGTTTCACGCAACGTCACGTGAACAATTCAGGAAGCGTGCATCCGATGTTAACGGTCACTCACACATCGTATAGCTGCCACGACGTGCTGGAGAAGAAGAGCACGGACAGCAGCCCGAGCCACAGTCAGATGTCGCGGAATTCGTCCAGGAAGTCGAACAATTCTCTCCTCGTCAACAACGGGAAATTGGAAGGTAGGTAGCGATCGTTGAATCCCAATACACAGCCCGGCCAATACGATGGAGCGATACCATTCATGAACGCACGCGCGCGCGCACGTTATTCGCGCGCCGAGATCGCAGCGATACGGCGCAAATCTCCGCACGGAAATCCGCTCGATCTCCTTACTGTACAATCATAACCGGGCGACTTTTATCCTTCCGCCGCGCGTTTTCTCGTCCTTACAAGATCTTCTGTACGTCCATTAACTTAGAAATTATTTCTTTGCGAAAACGGCCAACCCCAAGGCCGATTCTCGCGATTCTCCTGTTTTAGCGAGCACTCGTTCGCTTTCTTGCAAGGCGTAGGTAATCCGTCCGTTACGCTCTCCTTTTATTTCGCAAGCCTTCGAGAGACACTTCTTTTACACGCGAGTCCTCGAGACGAAGACAGTGAAATAAATCCCCGGAGATCAAGAGCTGGACGAGAAGAGCCGCATTAAATATCTTTTAAAGTGGTATTCTGCTTTGTTGGAAGGGTCAGAAAAATGTGTTTCCAAAATTTTTGTAGGGAAAAGTATTGAAGTAACACAGATATAATTTTTTTGTAAATGTGTTCATTGATTTTCTTAAATTGTAAATATTTGATAATATTTTTTGGCAGATTATCTAGTGGATTATATATAGATGGCGTCAAAATGAAAACTGCTAAAAGTACGCATCCACTTTGCTAAAAATAATTGAGAGCCACTGATTAATCTGAAACATTAAAATATACAGTTTTCTTAACCTATAGAAGTTCGCGCATCAGTACTATAATTACAAATTGTAAATTAACAAAATGGCGCTCTTTCAAATATATGTGATAATGTGATAATAATTTTAAAATTTGACAAAGATTGATAAAAACCGAGTAATTGTTGGTTTACGAATACGAATTTATTTCGTTGATGCGTCTATTTCTACTTCTTGTGTTGCCCCTTTGTTCGTGATATGATTTGTCTTGTGTCCCGATTTAGCGGATAAATATAGTTTTTATGCTGAACACGCGCGCATCATGTGTTTAAGAAACAATAATAATTACAGATCAGAAACACGCTCCTTCAAGACGGACTCGGGCGTTAAATTTTGTGACGTTACGTTGATTTACGTTGATCTGTATTGTTTGAAAAGTTTAATTATTTCCAGCGGATCGCACCCGATTTGAATAAATCAATTAATACAAAGAAGGAATCTTTCAATTAATATCACCTTTTTATATACATAAAGAGAATTTTATAGTAAAAATTACTATAGAATTTTGTAACCGAAGAATAGATCGTTATTCTGCAGTAACTATGCTTTCATATCATGCTACTGATATTTCAGAAATTGAAATATGCTATTAAAATATTATGTCTATAACTTGGAACCCATCTTTTTTTGTCCGTTTTTATTGGCCATCGTTAGATATGACTTTTTTCCATCTTTCTGGTAATAAGCGGATTCCATGGCGAAAGAACGACTCATCTTTAGAGGCTATCCAGTTAAAGACCCATTTTTCGACGCTTTCAAGAGTTGAAGTGTTACTCTGCAAGTGCGTGTGCCATCGACCGAAACAAGTGGTAGTCGGAAGGGGCACAGTCTGGTGAATAAGCCGCATGGGGTAGCACTTCCTAGTGAAGTGCTTCCAATGTTTCTTTGACAGCCTTAGTGACGTGAGGTCGAACGTTGTCATCAAACAAGATCACTTTATGCTGTCTTGTTTCATATTCTGGTCGTTTTTCGCGCAATGTTCGGCTCAAACGAATTATTTGTTGTTGGTAGAGATCTCCTGTGGCTGTTTGACCAGGTTTCAGTATTTTATAATATACTACACTCTTCTGGTCCCACCAAATACAGATCATAGCCTTCTTTTCATGAATATTGCGTTTTGGCGTCGATGTCGATGGTTGGCCTGGGTCTCAAATGGTTTTTCAGCGTTTAGGGTTATCGAAATAAATTCATTTTTCATCGCCAGTTACAATTCGATGCAAAAACCTTTTTCTTTTTTGCCTGGCAAGCAGCATTTCGGAGATGGTTTTTTGTCTTTCGGTGTCTCTTTCTTTCAATTCATATGGCACTCGTCTTCCTTCCTTGTATACCCATGGCCCTTGTATCCCATGGCTTTTAAACGCTTGGAAATGGCTCATTGAGTAACATTCAACGTTCTGCAAGCTGATTTTGTGTTTGACATGGATCTTCATCAATCAATGCTTGCAGTTCTGTATCTTCGAATATTTTTTGCTGGCCTGGACGTTCTTTGTCATTCGTGTCAAAGTCACCAAGTTTGAATCGTCGAAACCATTCCTTGCAAGTCATTTTCGATAGAACAAGTTTCCTATAAGCTTCAACAAGCATTTGATGAGATTCAGCAGCAAACTTCAAATTGAAACAGAAAAGCAAAGCTTCGCGCAAATAATGCTTATTTGGTTGAAATTTAGACATTTTCTTTGCAGTAAATAACTATGTTGTTGTCACAAACACAAACTTTTATTTACTGAATATTATTGACAGAAGTCAAAACTATAAATGATGTCTTGTTCAACCATTACAGTTGACGATTGTCGAAGCTACAGCTATTTATCGCTAGAGGACGGATTTTAAGTTATAGACCTAATACTTACTATGTTTCTAGAAAAATCTGCTATATTTCTAGCGAAATTTACTGTGTTCCTCAGCAAGATAGGCCTTACTGATTAGTTTATTCCTTAACTATTGACATAGAAACATAATAAAATTAAAGAATTTATATGAAAAGTAAGCTATGATATTATCTCCGTATAAAATGCAATTTTCGACCAAAATTGTAATATTTCTTTGCATTTAAAATATAAACTGTTGCAAACCGCCTTCATTTTAGTTTACTTTTTGAAGAAATATGTAACCGCGATTCGTTGCGGGTTTGAATCGCTTGTCGGATCGGGTTCGTGATAGGCGCAATAATTGAGAAACAGTGTTTTAAGAAAATAATAATGAATAATATATTTAAAATACTAAGCTGATGATAATGACAATATATATATCGAACAATACGTGTCGACGCCTTTGGTTTTGGTTGTTTGTATCGCCTGACAGAGGTTTGTTTAGGCGCCGATTTGTGTGAGGTGACGCGCGGTGCGCGGGACGCGGACGACGTCAGTGTCGCGTCTTCGCGAGTCTATTCTGTTGACATTTCTTTCGGCGTCGTTTCTCTTAAGTGTGGTGGACACTTTTCCCAGCAATGTTAGCGGCGTTTCGGAATCATATAATGTTCGCGGTCGTTGAAATTGCAGCGTAGCTGCACGCGGAATATGGCCTTAGTGGCGCTCCCCTTCGATCTCCTATCGCGGAGATTGGAATCGGCTCGGTGTATGCGGTGCGGCCGTCGGTCCTCGTACACGGGACCTTAGCTCTCGGAGTTTCCTTTATGATTCAACGAGCTCGGCTCGTTCGGACGCAATTTCGGATGCGGCCAGCGGTACTGTGAAACTTATCTGTGTCGGCCTCACGAATCCGTGAGCCGACGGCGGAATGATTACAGTCGCTACGCGACGAACAGTAATCTGCCCTGATCGGAGTAGAGTCGAATGTCGATGACACGTATCCGTTCAACGACGGCGGAGTGAGTACAGTCGTCAATCGACGAACAATAATCTGCCAGGAGCGGAGTCGGTATCTCTTAGAGCGGATAAGCGGAATCGGATTCTCCTTCGAGAGCGGTGGATCTGTTCTGGTTCTCTTTTGAGAGCGGATGATCGAATCTCTCGATTACGATTACGCAGCGTTTTATATACCTCGAATCTCGCTTGATTCGCTATTTACCGCGGTTGTTCGGCGGTCGCGCTGTTTAC